CTAGTTTACTTGTAGCTAGGCTGCTAAATGAAAATGTGGAGCTCTTCAGCTTGCGAGTCTAATGGTTGATGAGCCGGCTGTGGCACACTACGGTTTAACACCAATGAGCATACCCCTGCTTTGGTGGTAGATATTAGGGAAGGGAGGAAATGAGAAGGCGACATCCTAGTGTGGTGTTTATAAGAATCTATCGTGTAGAAATATGCAACACCCACATAAGAGGAAAATGGGAGAATTTGAAGTTTATTTTTGAGGAGCATTCAAACACGACTGTGTTATTATCTACAATGTGATGCTATAGAACAACATTTATGTTCAGTAAGAATTTAAACATATCGTAAGTATTTAAATCAGGTTATTTCTTTGCCTCACTGTAAGACTGTTACAGGCAGAAGTTTCGATGTGGAATGAACGGAAAAAAACTGAGGAGAATCTAGATTCTGCAAAAAAGAAACTAGCGGCTGCCGTAGAACGAGAGAAAGAAGCACTGGAACGGCTCGACAAACGACAGCGAGTTCTAGAAGAGTTGAAAAGGGACGAGGAAGCGCGCAAGAAGCAACTTGACCGCGCCTTGAAGAAGAACGCCCAGCTTCAGCAAGAGAGGGTGGGTTGCATGACATAAAAATTCATACGGAGAATTTTAATCATCTTGGGTTTACACTGGGTTTTTAACACGAAGCTATACTAGATCGTCATGGTGAAAGGGTTTCTTCAGCGTATTTACTGACGGTGTTGAGTGAATTTTCTCCCCGTGTTACAAGATAGGCTAGTCAGTGGAAAGGTAGAGTGAACATATAAAAATTAGAAAATGGAATGTAAATAATGGCGGTAAAATAATAAGTTGATGCTAAAAATAACTTTGGATTTTGTCATTAAGAAATTTACAACTATATTTTGTAAAAAGTACTCCTTGCTTACATTGTTTTCGTACCTCGTTCTAAATTTGCTCCTTACCTAACAATTTCCAACATAATACTTTTTCTGAAATTTAGTTTACACTGATTTTAAGTTGGCTGAAATGATATTTTCAAATCGTGGAAATGTCTTCGTTTTGCTTCTCCAGTTCAAAGTCGGAGATGAAGTGTCGGTAGTAACTCGAACTGTCATCCAAGTACGAACCAGAAAAGGGCTTTTGAATGCATGGATCGTCTTCAAAATTTCCTACCAGGGATTTGATTTATGGTGATAGAGAACGTTGTGACGCATAACAGCAGTTGATGACGGCAATCTGAAGTCGACAATGGGAGATCGTCCCGTAAGGACTACTTCAGCATTCCACATTTACATTTCACTAGTCGTTCACCATTTGGAACAAGCTGTAAAAGTGAACGCGTCATGAATGGGTGCCGCATGAATTGAATCAAGGACAACGAGATCGCCACTACGTAGCCTACTCTCCGCTTCTTTTAAACAGTAAAAGCGACCACTTTTTCGATCCTGTTTACTTTTAGTATGTAACGAAAAGGGTGCATGTAACTGGTCGGAAACACTGCAATACACACGTGGAATCGATCCCCGAGCCCATAGCTCACTAAGCCTTTCATCCTTCCAGAGTCGGCAAACTGGCACAAGACTTGTCTGGGAGAATAGCAACACTGGCGCGATAAATTATCGGTAGGTCACCGCGAGTCATTGTAAAGACCAGTATGCATTCAGTCACCTCCAACGATGTTTAGTGAAGTGAATGCAAGGCGGATCCCTCAGGGATTGATCAACGCCAAGAGCTTTTTAGCTTCATGCAACGAAAAGTTACGCTATGAGACAGTAGACGACCTTAGCCTTTTTATTTACTGCCTATTCTTTTTAACGGCAAAGTATTTTGCGAAATATAACTACTATAATGCTGATTATAACTATAGCCTCAGCTTAGCTGGATTCAATGCCGATTTGGGCTCCCCAGATCAATCCCGTTGACAGGTGATTGCTGATGGCACTGAGAAATAGAAAACTAGCAGAGATAGGTGAAACGAACGACCCGCATGGCGTGGTAGTGAACGCGTTACTCCCCGGTAAGGACAATTGGTTCCCCACCGCAGACACCTGCGGTCTGGACTTTTGCAAATATCTCAGCATTATAACAGTAGATGACGTTCAATTCAGTGGAATGCAACAAAAATTAGTTATGAAGATTTTCGCTTTTGGCAGAGGGAATTATGTAATACTTGGTGAAAAGTGTCAGTTTTGGTGAAACCATCACAGCAGAGGACTTTTGTCACGAATTCGATGAAATCCCATAAAAAGTGCAACGTATACTTTCAGAAATGGGTTACAGAAAAGTTCTATGTTCTAGTGCGACAACGCTCGATTACAACTTGTACAACCAACGCTGAGTTCGGCTAGAAATCCTCCTTGATCCACCAAGCTCGTCGAATCTACTCCAGCGAAACATCACTTTTCATAAGCACCTCTACAGCTATTAGCTGAGATAATCTTCAATAACCAAAACTCTGATAAAAATACCTTCGAAGAACTCATTGCCTCAAGAACTTCCGAATTCTGAGCACGAAAATTGCAGATTCTAACGGTTACTGTTTTGATAACAAAGTCGTGTCTAAGCTTAGTTACAGTAACCTAAACTATCACAAGATTTCCATCCGTATTGGAAAACTGCTCAATGATCAAAAATATTTTGTTTCTAGGACAAAGCTATTAGGGAGACTGAGGAAGCAAAAGTACTCAAAGAACGCTTGAAAAGCGATGCTGAGATGTTGCAAAGGAAGGATCAGGTAAATCACGGCTTGAACTAAAAGCTCCTTTGACGTATGTACGTATAAATTGGTTTCTGTTTTGAGAAAACAAAAATCTTCCTTTGAAACGAACAGCGCACTTAATAGTACTAGTAGCGGTTACTTGGGAAATCCATCGGATTTTTTTCCATGTAGATGACACGTAGTATGCCGCTAGTCATTATTGCTTAAGTTGTTCAGAAATTTCGCTAGCGACCACTATATTTAGTAAGCCTTTGAAACCGTTTGGAATAACAAGCACTTTTTATAGGAAATCTCCACACTTTCCTCTCGACTAAAATCTATACAACAGGAGTACGACCGACTTGTCAAGGAATTCGACGTATTCAAAGACGAGTCAGTAAAGAAATCTCAGCAAAATACTCCCGTGACAAATAATTCCACGGAACTAAAAGACGTCAATAACTCAGTAAAAGTACAAGGATCGGTCGTGGAACAACCAAAAGTAACAGTGGCAGTTGATGAGATTACCGTACTCCAACTCAAAGAAACCAAGAACCAATTACGAAAGGTGAATTCGTCGCAAATACTACGCTTTTGAAACAGCTGTCGCTTTGGAATAAGTGCTGATGTAACTTACATCACAGCAGCACAGTTTTTCTTGAATTCAAATTCCTCAGGTGTAAAGGCAAGTTGGAAGGCGCGCAACGCGGTAGACAGGGAGGCCTGCATTACACTTGATCGACCGTTGGTCCGTACCCCTTCACCCCAAGCTCAAGAAGTTCTCAGTCTCTCAAAGATCAACAAGTTGTTACTAGACTTGCATGAGAGAACAAAACCACTGACTCCATACATTTTTAGAATAGTATAAGCCATTTTATGGTGCTTGATGAAGAGGAATGCATGGTACACCCCTCTGTGATTGCTCAATGTTGAGAAATTACCCCTTATCCTTTTTATGCCAAATTAAGTGGAATGACAATACAATAGCAAAAACATTAGTTTTGTTGCTGTCTTCTTGGACAAGGTAGCACTTATATCCAGAGAGACAATTCGCTTCGTTTCGGCACCCCTCCACATTTATCCATGTTTAATTCGTTAAGGCAGAAGCTCAACTGTCAGAAGTAAATGACAAACTAGCCACCTGTGAGAAGGAGCGTCAACGTCTTTCCAACGCCAATAAGCTACTTCTGGAAAAAATTGGTAAAATGGATCTCGTATACAGACATATTTCTTTGAGTACAGGAAATAAGCGGGCTAGTTGTAGCTTAACATTTCGAGTCCGACTCGAGGTGATCTCCACTTTAAGATGGTGAAGTGAGATCAGCCGGTGACAAACGCTGCCAATGCATTGTTTTTTCCAATCCTTTGTTTTGCCTCCCATAGATTTTCTGCAGCAATTTTTGTATTAAATTGATAACCTGTCAATTAACACAGACCAGTGTCCGATCATAATAGCTTTTTCCCACACTTAAAAGTACACTTCTTAAAAACTCTTCGTGGCGTATAAAGCTATCAAAACTGTCACAAATGTGGATGGTAACCAAGATAAGCTCCAGATGTTGGATTGGTTGGATTTCGTATGGACAGAATAGCAGTACCCTTGCTAATGAAGGTGTTTGTGATTCATAGTTGGCGGGCAGCTCGGTTGGAACCAATTAACGTCAACTCACACAGCACTGCATAATGAAGTGCCTTGCTTAAATCTGGCAGTCACACGATATTTGGCGTTGGACTCCAAATGTTAAGCAAACTACGTGTGATCGGCAACGTTGATGTTGGACGTTGAATGAAAAGTGGTATAATCAATATTAAACATTAAGATCATGGAAATAATGGGGCGCTCGGGGCAGTTTCCGTGTTGAGTGACAAGCTGCAAGCGAAGGACAGGGAAATAGGAGAACTCGTAAGTTACCTGCCAGGGATAGATCGCGATGGCTACTTATATTCACCAGATTTTCTTACCAAAACACCCTTCCACTCTAGCCTAATCAAATTTTCCTTTTCAGAAGTCGCGAATAGTAAATCTCGAAGGAAAGATGTCTCGATAACGTTTCAACAGTATACAGTGTGAATAAAAGCTTTTAACATCGTTCAAAGGAAAGAATTTTCTAAGCCGAGATATGTGAAGCTTAGGAGATCAACGTTCGTGAAGTACGATGCAAAAGAATGACGAAGTCATGCTAAAGTGAAGTGAGGCTACAATGTATTATTAATTTGCTCAAAGAGATTAAGTTGCGGCGTTAAAGTAAAAACACTCTATGAGTCGGTAAAATACAACATATTTATGATGTTCAGATACGTAATATGAAGTTATTTGGATTTCTTGAGAGGAGGACCTCTTTTCTTCATTACTTTCTTTTCTTCTTGTGCCTTCCTTTTTGCAGAAGTAGGTTCTGACTGTAGAGTCTTGTCTACAGTAAAGAACATATCGATGCGACCCTTCAAACGAAATATCTTCTTGACGTAACCTTTCTTCAAATCCCTAAAACTCCAATGCATACACGTACCTGCGTTGAAGATCCACGTCCCTTCTTCATTTTTGCAATTGCTGATCGTATTCTGTCCTCACTAAAACGGTTTTCGTAAACATAGTATTGAGAACTCGCTCAATGATTCACGGCCCGGGATATCCTTCGGTATAGAATTACAATGTACAGCAGAATTTCCAATCTTGACAAAACCACCCGAGACAGCTAGTTCAAATTTTGCATATGAAACCAAACTTGGGCGTAAACTTAAGCAAGGAATGGGTGTTATCTTAGAAGAAACATTGCCGCAAAAGCATTCATACCATACAATACTTCTATATAACGCCCAAGAAAAGTTTCCACGAAGCTCCGTCAAACAAAATTGAACAACAATCAGTTGATCTTAACTTAATTAACCTCAATTCCCAAGTGTGCGACGTCAGACAAATGATGACAGAAGAACAGACCTCGACTTGTTAAAACAATGGTGGCAGACTAATACCACTCGTTCACGACTTGTCACTGAGACTGTTTCTTTCCGAGTCCTTACAACTCCTAAACAACATTCTCTTGTCACGATCTTTGCACTGTGCTAGAAGACACACCAATTTTCAGATGACCGCCAAATAGAAGACTGGAAGAAAGAAGACCAACCTATGGTAAGTGATGGAACCCTCATTACATGCAAACACGAGACCCCATCACAAAATGTATATCATAAGCACAAGGCGGTACTTCTGTGGCACCTTCCCAATCGTCAAAAAGCAAAAAAAGTTATGTACGACAAGATTTAATGCGGAACCCTTCTCAGGTGAGTGGAAGACTTATGAAAACCCGTTAGAAGACAACCAACTGCTCTTCAGTGGTTACAGAAACTACCAAATATGCACGGTCGTCAATAAACAAGTATAGAAAAATAAAGCACTGAAACTAGACCCGGCCATCTGCAGATCTTTTCTAGGGAATTGGAAATTCCGCTGCCATCACTTATGAACAAAAATGGGATTACTGATTGCTCCCAGCACGATATTAATTTGACAACGGACGAGTTCTAATCCATTCTCTTCCATATCATAATAACCATTCCAAATTTCGTTCTGAATTCCATCATAAGATCAAGAGCATGGAAAAAGGGACAGCTCAGGACCACACCACACGGCAGAAATTCTACAAGCTGTCAGTTATCTAAAATTCAAGAAGGAACTCCCAAGTCCGACTTTCTATTAACCTCGGCATTGATTGAATATATCCGTCCCGTCCTGCACTTACTTATCAAAACCCATAAATTGGTATCCGGCGATGATCTCGTGTCTACCGATCCAACGTTATTTAAGGTTAGACCTATCATTAGCTGCGTGGACGGGGCAACGGATAGAATAACATGGTTAATAACCCTAATACTTACTCAGTTGTTGAAGTACATTCCAGCTCATCTAACGAACACCCAAATGTTCCTGGATCGTCTACGTAACGCGCGACCCAACAGTGCGTACGTGGTGAAGTCCTTTGACGTCACTGCCCTCTATACGAACGTGTCGAATGACTCCGCTATGCAAGCCACAAACGAGCTCCTTATACAACACGAAGGAGCAATAAACATGTACGGCTTCTCGATTCAGCAGTTGATGACACTCTTAAAGGAGTGCCTAAACTGCTCAATCTTCAGTTGGTCCGAGAGGTATTACGCACAAATGAGAGGGCTGGCAATGGGATAACGACTGGCACCAAGCCTTGCCATTGCATTCATGTCTAAAGTGGAAGCGCCAGTAATCGACCTCGGTCCGTTACTCTACTGTAGATATATAGATGACTGCTTCGTCATTTGTTCAACGCAAGAAGAAATCGACGAATGTTTCGAGTTGTTGAACACACAGTCAGAGTATATTAAATTCACCCGAGAGAAACCAAAAGAAGACTGGCTTTCATTTCTGAACGTGCAAATTAGCCTATCAGAAAACGTCTAAACTACGAAGTGGTATCGAAAACCAAGTAGTAAAAACATCCTAGTTCATTACCTCTCCTCTCATCCCTCTCACACGAAAAGGACGCTTGTGAGAAATATGTATCGAACAGCTACCAGCGTGTATACAACAACAGAGAGAGGAGTCCCGGAACTTGGCGCGGCAAATAGCCATTTTTAATGGCTACGAAACCGTAGCTCGAGATAGGTGTAGAGGGAACCACAGGTACCCCAACGATAACTCTAGCGACAACAAGGTCCCGTTTATACTGCCCTTCATTTCAAATGAAGTAGGTGCAACTATAAAACGCTGTTTAAGAAGGGCCACTCCAGAGAATTCGGTAACGATAATCGAAATACCACCGAGTAATCTAAGGCACCAGCTAGTTCGTAACCGCCGATACGACCGTCTATGTGCAACCCAAAATTGCATAATTTGCCCCAATGGTAGAGACGATGACTGCATGAGTTAGGGTACAGTCTATCTGATCTCTTGTAAAGCGTGCGGCGACGAATACGTTGGCGAAACAGGTAGACCACTCTGCGTACATATAAAAGAATGCCTAGTCGGCAAATTTAGCCCAAGTACTCCACTAGGTACGCATAGCACGCAGAAACATAACGGAGAAGATTTTGAAGTAAGGGTTACGATCCTCGCGCAAGAATCGAGAACACAAGCGCGCAAAACTCTAGAGGCATTCTGGATTAATTCCAAGAATCCGAAAATGAACCGCAGGGAGGAATGCCTCGTTATCAAGCGTGATATTGGACAGTATATAAACCTATTGTTCTGATGGGAAGGGCACATTACGCTTCCACGTGAATTCTGTGCCGTCGGTCTTCACGCGACATACTCGGTGGAAGACTCGTAGAAAGCGGTGAGTGTGCAGAGCTATGCTAAATGTGATTGAAATCTTGGTTTAGCGTTTTCTTTGTTTGATTATGGAGGTGTTTGGCCGAGTGGATTGCTGTCAACTTGACCCTTCTAGGCTCTGAGGAAGGCGAAATCCGCCGAAACGTCAGCTTGTGCGTAAATAAAGAAATAAAATAGCACCTCGTGTTTGCTGAACAGAAGTAGAAAGATATACTCAAGAAGGAGTTGAAGCCGTTGGGTAAGGAAATGTCCGGAAAATCTGTCTGGAATTCTAGCCATCCCTTGTTCTAAGATCTATCGAATATGAAGTCGCGTTCGACACGGTCAAAATGAATACAGTCCTATCAGCACTCAGAGACGTTACCACACCAATAATGATCAACTTCATGAGAATATCTTAGATGGGGATAAAAACAAAAACATAATGATGCAATATCCTAATCAAACTGTTTTGCCAATAATGTCGTCGCCTTTTTGAGATGTACTAGTGGATTAGGAACGATGCTCTTTGCGTATAAGGTCACAAATGATTCGCAAGACACAATTTGTAGAAAACTCACTATGCAAAGGTGGACAGTGGAAAGCGTTATGAAAAGAGAATTATGAAACAACATCAAGTTACATTTCGCAGTTAAGAATTTCTACGAAGAAAACGTTCTCCTGTTCGACGAGAGAAATTGGCACCTGTGTGGCTCGACCACGTAATGAAAGTTTACATCGAACAGGTGGGAAGAACAGTGAACTAGATCACAAGATGACGTACTTTTTCTCTGATACGACCATCTACAAGACTGGCATGTGTGCTCTGTTTCCAAATAAGCAAATGGATCACAGAATGATATTCGTGGGCTTCTCAATGAACCATAAAATCACTGCGTTGATTGCGAGGAAACGAAATAAAACGAATAGCAAATATGTTGGATTCAGCATCACTTGTGAAGATGGGCCATCTAGATATCCAACTACTAAGCAAATCACAGTAAGAAACACTTAACTCAAAAAACATACTTGAAGCTCTTTTCACCACACATAAAACTGATGATTCCGTCAACGTCAGGTTCCTTCCATACTAACTGAAACCCTGCAGTTAAACAGCATACAAAAAACTCATGTAATTCAGCTGCAAAAAAGATGGTGTATAAAAGAAAGATACGCAAATAGATTGACATTTATGTCACTGCAGTCTGCCACCTCCGGAGTAAGAAAAAGTTTCCTTGCGCGTTGATACGGCCAATCCGTTGGAGGAGGATATTTCTAGAAGTAAACTTTAAGTAAGGAAACTTTCACTTCTGAGGTGCACATTCCCATAAACAGACTTTCAAAATTTTTTTTATACTTTATTTGATCCGTCTTCACGTCTACTGTGCGGATCCCAGCATTTCTCACATCCAATTCGCTTCCTCGTATACATCGCGCATGAAGGTCTTCCAAGTTTTTACGTATGGCTTCGGTTGCTGCTTGAAGATTTTCATTTCATCTTGAATGTTGTAGAATGCTGGTCGAGCAATTCTCCCTGGAGCCCTGAGATAGCCGGGCTGGAGGGTTCCCAGCTGGATAGCAGAGTGAATTTTATCGCGGACAAGTCCGGTGCTAATTTCCCAATCCCGGAGGGATGAAAGGGTTGGTGCAAAGTTATTTGTGATAAACACAAGATTGCAAGAACAGAAGCTCGTGATAACATCACAAAGACGCTTTGCGATTGCGAAATAAGTAGCACTTACCTTTTGATCGAGATTTTCTAGAATCGATTCAATATCCCCGTATGTTTTTATCAGTTCAAACGCCTTCTTCGGACCAATTCCTCGTATCGACTCACAGTAATCGCAACCAAGAAGAATGCAAAGGTCAACAAACTGCTCCATTGTCATGTCGAGGTCAGTCAAGATACGGGAGAGGGAAAATTCCTTCAAAATTAAAACATTCAACGAAACGCAAATAATACCAATGTGGCATGAAAAGGCGAATAATTCCACAGTACTTATACTTCTTCACAATGGTAATAATACTTGAATAGCTGAATGGCCCGTCTTCACGCTGAGAGGTAAGGACTTCACTGATAACTACCATTTGATTTACATGTTGTTCGTTTGAACCAATACTGCTGAGCTAATGCAAGGTTGGTATAGCTGTCGTTGTTGTTGCTCTTGTTGTTGTTTGTCAATGGCTGACGTTTCGGCGATTTCACCTTCCTCAGAGCCATGACGTTACGAGTGCGAATGAAAAATGTGCTGGGATCGACACAACTCGTGAACTCTAGCCGTTCAGGTATCCAATTATGCATTCAAATACTTCTTTCCCCATTAATTTCTGTCTGGTATTTATACTTACCTCGATTGTGGAAATTGCATTTAGAGCTCAGCACATCACCAGTTTCATGAAGGGGTTCTTGTGCTCAGGCAATTTTCTACCTCTGCTGCATATGATAACCTCAGTACCAGTATCCATTCATAGCGTCTCATGTGATAGGTCATGAATGACTATCAAGCAAGGTTTCCTGCATATACACCCTATTATTGCTTGTTTACTTGTTCCTTAACTTTACGCGTCCCACTCAGAACAGCACGGCTCTAGGAAAGGCGAAGTCACCGAAACGTCAGCCATCGACAAACAGCAACAACAACAACATCGACAACAGCAACAACAGCGACAGCTATACCAATCTTGCATCAGCTCAACAAGATGAGTTCATAGAAATATATAAATAAATATATCGATTATTTATGCTGAGGTTTATAGAAAGTCGATAACCTGATTGATAATTCTCTAGTCTAGCAAAATTTTCCTAGCGTAAATCTCGACGAATTCATACAAGGACGCTTCCAGTTCATCACTACAATCAGTGTTATACCTTTTTATTTTCTGCCTACTATAATTTCGCGGCAGGGTACTAAGCGAAATACAACCACAACGTTGCTGAGATATTTGCAAAACTCTGGACCGCAGGTGTCTATGGTGGGGAACGAACGCGCTATTGTCCTTTCCGGGGAGTAGCGCGTTCACCACTACACCATGCGGGTCCTTTGTTTCGCCTGTCATATATATATATATATATATATACATATATATATATATGTATGAAAAGTAACCATTGAAAATATAAACAACATTTCGTACCTTAATGGGAACTTTCTTAGCTTCCGAAAATGTCATGTGACGAAGGAGAATATTGGAGCCAAATGTTAAAGCATCCATATCTTCTGTTGCCGAAGCGAAAACCTTTACAAAAACTGTTGTTCCAATTCAAACTTCCCAGACAACAATAGAAGAACTCGTAATGTTTACTGACTTCTCTTGAAAAAAAGAATGACACTATGAATAAACGAACTCTAGGAAACATTGACGGACTTACTTTGTTCGCTTTCACTAGAGCGGCACACTGCGCTTCTGCCTCGCAAGGAGCTTCGATAACAGGCACACCCATAAGATCAAGCAGTTTTTTAACGTCATTATTTTGTTCTTTAGTGACCTAAGCTAATAACGTCCTATGAGACCGACAGCACTACACACTGGAATGACATACCTTAACTAATCTTCTTTCAAATTTGTCGACAGCTTCAGTGTCACCCTTCTCTTTAGCTTCATTGAGTCCTTTCTCAGCTTCAGCGCTAGAAAATATGCGGGACTAAATTCCCGTATTTGTGAACTTTATAAAATTCTTTACTAAATGTAGGCAACATACCGTCTCTCGCTACGTTTTTCTAATTCTCCGCTCTTCATATCAGGTGGTTTTCCGTCGAAGACATAACAAGGTTTCACACCATTATCAATCATACGAATAGTACGGTAGAACATACCCATTAGATGACTGTAATAGAAAGTAGTGCTGGTAGAAGACCAAACTGATGATCGTACTCACCTCGTCGTCTCACCAGTTTCTGACTGCAACTGTGATCCATCCTGACGAACTGCGATTAGGAACTGATACAGACACATGGAGGCATCAATGGCCACCTGATGGGACGCAAAAGTTTAGGACACGTAGAGCGCTGGGAGATGGCAACATAGATGTCAAGAAGATAAATGTAGAAAGAATTGGGAGAGCAACCCGACAAACTGCCCTACCTTGCGCCCGAAATAGTTCTTCATGTCACTGAGCTTAATCGCATTAGGAGCATTGTCCGCAATAACTTTCGAGAGGTCCTTGATTCCCATCGAAGTCGGAGTTAATATGGTGGCGAGTGACTAAACGGCACCACCCAACATTTTTCAGCAGATACAGACTATTTGCGCAAAACAGTCAAACAGACGGAAAATCAAGCTGCACTAATCGCAAATGAATATACCAATGGATTGAAAACAGAGTGAACTTAACGAAAAACGCTATGTGAATATGTTTTCTACAAATTCTACAGAAATTCTCCTAACGGTTTACCGCCTCATCGCAGCTGGGAGGTAGTCCTGGGTGTCAGGCTGGAATTTACTGCGGGGGCATTCATCCCCAACAGGGTCTACCAAGCTGAGAAGGAGCTCGGCGTTTCTATCATGAAGCCCAGCTAAGAGTAAATCAATGCCAGGATCCATCATCGTCCTGGTATGAAACTAGTCGCATGGTGGCAAATTTTCCCCTGATCCAAAAGGCGGCGACTACTATGGTGGTGGCGACCTGGGGTAGGCTTTGGTTGAATCGGCCTCGGGATTCCAGAGAACCATAATAGCTAAGCCGGCAAAACTCCGAAGGAATGGAAATTATGCTGGGGCCCGCACAACCAGTGGAGAAGGGCCATCGAAGTATCGAAATAAGGACAGTACAGAAATAAAAACATATCGATGCCCAGACAAACAAGGATTCCATAAGACCTTATGATATCAGAATTTACACGAGTTCATTGAAGACTTCTTAGAATTTAACAACAAGAAGCATGTACGATCAAATCGATACAGCAAAAAAAAACCAACGCCTAATCCAAACTCTGAAAAAAATTGGCCAGTACTTGGAATCCTATCCTAGACTGCTTCCTACACCATTACCAATGAAGGAAACGACGGTCCAAGCGCAACCAGCCACGCCTAGGTGCGTTTCAAATACGCTCCCTTGCGCCCTGTGCAAGATTATGAGCCGCAATTGCGGACTTCTGAAACTTTATACTCCTGTTAACTCAAAATATCGACTTTCTACGAACCTCGGCATAAGTAATCGGCGTATTTGAAAGGATAAAGCTCGGGGCGTTGATCTATACCTAAGAGATGCGCCATACATTCGACTTCATTAAACATCGTTGGAGGTGACTGAGTGCATATCTGGCATTTAAAATAAGTCGCGGTGGCCTACTAATGTATCGAGACAGTGCTGCTATCCTTCCAGACAAGTCTGATACCAATTTGTCGACCCCGGAAGGTTGGAAGACTTAGTGGGCGATGGGCGCAGGGATCGATTCCACGTGTGTGTCGCAGCGGCGCCTCTAACCACTGCACCACACGCGTCCTATCGGTGCTTATTCGCCAAAGTCGCCAAGACGTTAGCCATCGACCAACAACAACAAGGACAATTCTATTCTTGTGTCTCTTGTTCAGAAAGCAACGTCTTACTTCGGAGAGCTTCAACTATCCCCTCACAATCACAGCAGACATGTCAGGTCATAGCTTTGAGTTTTATTTTTAATGGGTTTATTATATGGAATTTCGCACAAAAAGAAAAATAAAGAAGAGACATGGGTCAGAAACAAATACATAATATCCACTATTGATCCAGGAAAATGAACATGGATATTACTGAGAATGTTAGAAGCAAAACAAATCGCATTCTCTCGGTTACTTGCTTACTTGTATTTTTGCAACCAAAGATGTATATGGTAAGGAAAATTCGTACTTCCGCATACCATTCCGTGGGGAACCTTTATAACAAAAACAAATACGGCAAATAAAAAACGCCGGAAAAAAAGTTTAAGAGAACATATGTGCAAGATATTTAATAATCTTCTCCTCCAAGATTATCGTCCGATCCGACATCTCCATATCCTTCGCCATTGTCGAAATACGTGTCACAGTAATCATTGTCCTCTTCAGCGAAGTCTTCATCCGACATTAAATTACTTCCTGGAGCTTCTTCTGAATCTTCAGAACCGTCCTCATCCTACATAAATAACCTAATCTAGAGTGAAGCTGATATAAAGGGCGAAATAAGAATGAAAACTGGAAGCAAAACCGATAGAGCCAACCTCTACTTCATCAGTAATATCGTCCCGTTTCTCTGCTTGTTCCAATTTCATTAACTTTTGTTCAATAATTTCTGTTGTATCACAGTTCACTTTCCTTTTTTTCAACATAGAGCACTCTGTCCGTTCATGACGCCAACACAGCTCCATAGGTAACCGTGAAAAATCTAAACCAGCCTACATTTACCCCATAGAAGTGAAACGTAAGAGTATGCCATTAGTTAGCTGTCTTTCATTTTCCATTGGAAAGTATCGAAATTTTTTTTTACCATTTTCGCTTCTTTTGTTTTGCTTCAGAAAAACTCGTTAAAGTAAACCACTTCAAAAATCCTGGATATTCAATACATCATTGTTAAGCATTCCCACCGAATTCACCTTTATAGCCCAAGCAGACAGCAGCTTCTGCTTCATAACTGTTAAAGTACCAAGTCCTCTAATTTCTTTTCTATATGACCCGTCTTCACGTCTACTGAGCTGATTCCAGCACTTCTCACATTCGATTCGTTTCCTTGCATCCATCATCCACTAAGTTCGGCTATTGCTTGAGGATTTTCACTTCATCTTGAATGTCGTAGAATGCTGGTCGAGTCGATTCTCTCTTTAGTCCTGTGATAGGGCTGGAGCGTTACTAATTGGATTGCAGAGAGTGATTTTTTCCTGGACACGTCCAGTACCAATTTCCCGACCCCGGAGGGATGAAAGATTTGGTTGACCCAGAGCGGAATCGAATTAACACCGTGTTCGTAATGAACGACATCACCAAGACTGTACTATCCACCTCATGTCCTTCAAAATACTGCTTGGAAATACTGCGTTTTTAACACACGATCTTACTTAGATAATAACATTTCAAACCGGAGCGTTTCGTTCGGTTTAGTAAATTTATCAGTACTAACTTAACTTGAGGGAGCGGGTAGCGTAGTTGTAGTGATCCCGTTCATCTCTCCGGGGTCGGCAAATTGATACTAGACAAGTCTGCGACAAACTCCAATCCACACAGGAGCACTCCAGCACGGCTATTTCGGGATTCTAAGAAGCACCGACTCAACCACCATTCAACCGTCATTTGTGACGAAGACGAAGAAAACGGCAGCAGAAGTCATACGTAGAAAACTTTGACCTTCGTGGATGGTGAACACGAGGAAATGAATCGAATGGAGAAGTGCTTGGATCCACACAATTTGATAAGTGCGATGTTGGGTCGTGTAACAGAAATAATAATAGCAAAGGTCTAACTCGAACACAGCAAGATTTACAAACTTTAACACCATATTAGTTGCGTTGAAACGCACAGGTAGAGCACAATTATCCCAACGAAGTAAGTATATGACTCGCTTTTTCTGGCCATTTATTTTACCATATAAAATGTTTGCGGCACTGTGTGTCTTCCATCCATTCAATAGCCTATCCAATACGAATATTAGATGGCCAAAAAGAAGCTCCATTCTGTATTCGATAATTTATAGAAAACCTTTTTTTGACGAGTTTATTTCTCTGTTGGTATAACCATTTAGACTCCAATATATGAAACTGTAAAAATCGAGACAGATTTTTGGAGCATTGAAAACCGACAATGTTTTCAAAGGTACATCAAAGGATCTCAAATGATATAAGTACAGCTATAAAACGCTGCTTAAGAAGGGCAGGCTTAGAGAATTCGGTGAGCGTAGTTGAAATACCACCGAGTAATCTTAAGCGCCTGCTAGTTCGTAACCGCCTATATGACCGTCTATGTGCAACTCAAAATCGCATAATTTGCCCCAGTGGTAGAGACGGTGATTGCATGAGCTCGGGTATAGTTTATCTGATCTCCTGTAAGACGTGTGGTGACGAATACATTGGCGAAACGGGCAGACCCCTCTGTGTCCGCATGAAAGAACACCTAGCCTGCAAAAATAGACCAAATACCCCGCTAGGCACGCATAGGACCCAGAGACATAACGGGGACGACTTCGAAGTATGTGTCACGATCCTCGCACGCGAATCAAGAACACAGGCGCGAAAAACTCTCGAGGCACTCTGGATTAATTCCAGAAATCCGAAAATGAACCGCAGGGAAGAATGCCTCATTATCACGCGTGATATAGGGCAGTATATAAAACTGCTTTTCTGATGTGAGGGGCACATTATACTTCCACGTGATTTCTGTGCGGTTGGTCTCTACGTGACATACTTAGTGGAAACCTCATAGAAAGCGGTGAGTGTGCAAAGCTGTGTTCAAAGTGATTGAAATCTTGATTTGGAGTTTCTTTGTTTGGTTATGGAGGCGTCTGGCCGAGTGAGTTGCTATCAACTTGACCTTCCCAGGCTCTGAAGAAGGCGAAATCCGCCGAAACGTCAGCTTAATCGTGAACAAAGAATAGTAACACCTCGCGTTCGCTCAACAAAAATACGAAGAAAATCGCACTACATAATTAACCAGGATGACCAATTAAAGTGACTAGAAAACGTTTACTATACTAACCCACCTGGCTCAAGCCTTTCACGCTGTATTTCATTGTACTTATCGGTATACCGTCTTATGTCTCTAACCTGAATGTTGTCCAAGAAGAACGGTGATTCCTGAAACCTAAAACAGGCGAAAAATCCAGTTAGCCAAAACATCACAGTGCACTTACCTGTTCACCAACTCCAGCTTCAATTCAGACATATATTGCAATTCATTGGATAATTCGAGAGGAATAAGTGCCCGCTGTATTGTCTGTTTAAAACCAGGAAACATTACACAAACATCGAAATGGAATGCATGTAATGATAAAACAATCCGAAAATGTATTAAAACAGGAAGTAATTAAGTGTAATTTCTTCAAAACAACCACAAATGTGTGTTAAGAAAAGGATAGAGTTCTCGGAGTTGATCAATCCCTGAGAGATGGTCACATGCATTCGACTTCATTAAGGACCACTGCAGGTGATTGAATGCACATCTGGGTTTACAATGAACCACGGTAGCCTAGTGATGTATCGAGCCAGTGCTGCTATTCTCCCAAACAAGTCTGGTACCAATTTGCCGACCCAGGAGGGATGGAAAGTCTTGGTGAGCCTGGGGTGCGGGATCGATTCCATGTGTTTGGCAGAGCGCCTCCAACCACTGCGTCACACGCGCCGATATATGTTACAATTAAGAAGTAAAGTAAGAAGAAATCAGGCTCACTAGAAAATCCCAGTCAAATTCGTATGTATTACTGAAAACATCACATGACTTTTACAACTAAACTAGCCACTAAGTACGATATCACCAAGCGTTTCCTGGTCTCTTAATTTGTACTAAGAAAAAATCCTCCCACCGGATAATCGGGCGGGTCGACGATAACCCGTTGTTTCATATAAGCAACGATGTCATTCCTTTCTATTCCGAGTGCGTTCGCTATTGCTCGAACAGCTACCCCTGGCCCGAGTACTTTCCCACGGCTACGCCCTCCCATGCTGAAATCAGAAGTATAGAACGAGCTACTATGGCATTTCTATTGACCATACATCATGTCAAATTGTACAACTCAAAGATAGTTTCAGTTCGACTCTGGATCACAACTACGATGCCACAAAGCATAATACTATACACTTTTATCTAAAAAGTAAGTATTTCAACACATGTTCACAAAAACTGACTTACAATAACAAATGGCATAACAACTGTGATTTGCCTGAGCGACTTAACAACTTACAAACCACACCATGTAGAACGATCTGATGGGTTATATAGGTTCAGACGTATAAGATCACATTTGATGCTAATTTACACTGGACTACAGAAAGAAACAAATGAGATACTAGCGTCAGTCACTGGCCCCTGCTGTAGTTTTTTCCTTGTTCCAGTCTTTCAAACCTTTCGGTAACTGTGTATCCTCGTCCAATCCTAAACATTTGGGCTCATGTTTGCAAAAAGATGCGCAAAAGACGAATATAAGGGAAAAACAGACCTCCTGTTCCTGAGACCATCTCTTCATACGTTTGCTTTTCAGCAAACGGTCGCTTACCCAATAATTCAACCATGTCCTCACGAGATAAAATTTCTTTCTCCAAAAGACGTTGAGCAATCTAAAGCAGGATCCGGCAATGAAATGGCATCGGCAAGATAATAACTTGGAAATGATTCCAACCATACCATTCCTAATCAACTCAAACAGAAGAAATAAATTTGGAATCAATCCTCTATTGAGGTATTCAACAGGCACCTTTTCAATTTCTTCTCGTTTCGAGAGGAGTAGTTCCCTAGTTCTTGAAAGAGCATTGTTGACAATGTCACGAACTTCTTGATCAATTATTTGTGCAGTAGCTTCCGAGTACGGTTTGTCAAATGACATTTCGCCCGGCCCAGCCGTTTCGAAAGACAATGGCCCTACCTTGGGAGACATACCGAACTTGACAACCTGAAATTAACTGCTTGAGAACAATAAACCGTCCTAAACTAGGAAAGGCCAACTTCAGTATATGACGAAAAGCACAAACGGTAGTACAGACATAAGCAAATCTAGAAAGAAACCAGACATTCGTATATATGTTCTTACGAACTGCTTTTTTGTGGCCGACGCGAGGTTGGTATAGATGTTCTTATTGTTGTTGTTGTCTTTGTTCAATGGCAGCCGTTGGACCACCTGTGAGTCGTTCACGAGAGATGATGTGACTCATTGTCCCTCGTGGACAGACTATACCAACCTCGTGCCGGGTAAAAAAAAGAGGCAGTTCGTAAAAACATATATACAGATATATCGACTATTATGTCCAGGTTTATAAAAAGTTGGTCTTTTGAAGACAGACATTGTATGCATAACTGCATTACGCCTACTATACAATGTCGGGGCGTGATCCATAGCAGCGTTGTGAATCACCTCTTGTTATGACAATCAACGTCTTCAAGAAATAAAGGACAACTTGGACGGAACTACAAACTACATCCGTTTGGTAGACAATATAATCACTGCTTACGAAAGCATTTCAAGCAAATCGCTCTGCAGCCCAAAGCACTGATTGCCTCAAAACACCCTAGAACATTCATGATTCCTAATAAGCAGAAAATAATCATCAGTATCCTGATTCTCACAATCGTGTATACTGCAGTAGAGTCGAAAAATACGACTGGTGAGTGTAAAGTGCTCTACATTTTATATTTCTGCAAACATAATTGAATTCTTTTAGAGGGCACAAATACGGCCTCCTTCAGTTTTAATACTCTATTTCCAGAAAACAATCTTGCCGAAATTGTAAAGGTGAGCTGTTGAACTACGACTTAGTACCAGATGTAACTTCTGATGGTGTATATAAACTTCATTGCAGAGAAACGATGAGTTGAGAAATCAATTATCTAGCCTCATCAGCCGAGTGAAATATGTGGAAGAACATATTAACGACACTAACAATCAGGTACGGAAAAGTTCATCCTGGATCTTTGAACATTTTCGAAGAAAAGACGCTTTTATAGATGGTGGCTTTCAAAATTGTAACAAGCAAGCATTAAAAGTAAAAACAACGACTGTTGCTTATGTAAACACCATCCAGTCCAACAAATAAGCAACTTTATACGCATCTAAACAGGCCAATAACAGGCCATACGCACAGACTTACGTTCAAAATTGGTGATACCGAAAGCCAATCTTTTGTTCTGGTCTTGTAGGCACCAAATACTACAGCATTTACAAGGATTGTGAGTAAAAATAAAGGATTAGAGTTGTAACTAAGGGCAGCCGCGACAGTAAAGGATATGAGTTGTGACTAAGAGTTAGATGAGATCACATTGGTTATAAGCCGTTAATTCTATTCTAAAATAAGATGCAGTGAAGGACAACGTCAACAACCAAAATTCGAGCTTTTGTCATTATAGCCCTTCCTCATGATTTTTGGGATCCTCAAAGTGTTAAACGTTAAAGATTTCAATACAGTCAGGGTCAATTAAGGCACGAAGATTTCCGAATTCAAAACATTTCCTTAGATTCTTAGCCTACATATTCCATCAGTTTGAATCGCCCAATATTAAAACAAGTAGCACTTACCTCTAGAAAGCAAAAATGTGAATTATGATAAATAATTGTCATCAACTGCGCTATTACAAATCAAATTGTTGCTAGGAAAGTTAGTCGCTCGACACAAGCAGAATCTAAATCGCATCTGTTATTAACAAAATTACCACAGAATCGCTAAATTTGTTCGCTGAACAGAAAAGAGACGCCTAAAACTGGCCTTCTATCACCTCTATCACCGGGAATTCCTAGTATTCATCCAGAAAGAAGATTCTTTATAGATACTTCACCACATTACGTAAAACTTTCTTCTCAAAACACGATAATAATATCAACGAGTAAAACTCTTACTAAGGTGAAAACTTTTCGCAATTTTCACTTCCCCACTATTAAGCAATTATAACTCTTGATAACGACCACTACACTCCCAACGGTTTACCGCCTCATCATGGCTGGGAGCTGTTCGGAGCTGGCGGCGATGTATAGCAGGAAGATTCATTCCTCCTGGCAGGGTCTCTCAAGCTGAGCAGTCCGGCATTTCCATCAAGAAGCCCAGTAAAGAGCAAACCAATAGCAGGATGCACTGCCATCCCCGTATCAAATTACTCGCATCATGGCAAATCTCGCTCTGATCCACAACGGTGGCGACTGTCTGTTGTGGTGACGACCTGTGGCAGACTTTGGGCTGGCTGATCTGTGGAATCCAGGGAATCGCAATATCTTAACCAGCAAAACTCTGAAAAATTGGAGATTACACTGGGACCAGCACAAACAGCGAGGACGGGCCATCCAAGTAACCAAATACCAAGTAAGTAAGCCAACGATTACTTTATTCAGCGCCAGAAAATCAACAGCCAAAATCACACAAACCATAAGCGATTTTTAGCGACCACAGGAAAACTATGAGTGTTCGAGTGACTATTTAAAGGTGTTCCTGCATCATTTCCTCCATCAATCTCTCCTAACCAACCTTGGGCACAAAGATTCAACCAAGCATTAACAGACAAACAACAGATGATTTGAAATTGTAAACACAACGGAAGCAGTAGCATTCTTCCTTCCAGAAACGACAAGATATCATCGAAAGTCCATCACTACTTTTCAGATTGCTACTCCATCAATGGCCTTTGCTAATCAGCCATGGTTACAGTCATTGATTAAAACGGCAACAAGCAACCAGCAGGTGACTTAAGATTGTAAATGCGTTGGAAGCATCACTGAACGTTCCTCATGACTTTCCAGGTTTCTACTCCATCACCGGACTTCCCTAATCAACCATGGTTACAGGAATTAATTAGAGCGGCAACAATCAATCAACAGGTGACTTATGATTTAAGGTTGAAATTATCACTGAACGTTCTTCATTACTTTTCAGGTTGGTACTCCATCAATGCACTTTCCTAATCAACCTTGGTTACAGGCATTAGTTAAGGCCGCAATGAGAAATCAACAGGTAATTTCAAAAATATGGTAGAGATGGTTTTAAACAGCCAAATGCTTTTTCTTTCAGAAACCACAAGATATTATTGAATACCCAGTAATCATAGTCCCTGACGCAAACCTTTGCCCGATAGCGCAACCGCATACAAGACCATATCCCGTCTATCCACGCATAGAGAACCAGGTAGGGTGCAAAGATTCGGATTACAATGTATAATTATAAATCGACACCTTAATTTCACCATCAGTCAACTTGTGAAATAATCGTTTAAGTTGTAAATTAAAAGTATAACATCGACAAACCGTTCTACCTCGAATTCAGTCAAGTCTCAAGTGGATTAGTATGATCTGTAGTCATAAAGAAACACAAGTTATTGGAAATAGTGTGCTACCAAAGTAAAGACCAATTTAAGATCCGTTTCACAATGTTCAGAACTATGTGGAACCACCAGACTATCCACGAGCGCCTTGAAAAACTCAAGGATCAAACAGTTGCGGAATATTTGAATGATGCCATATTTGATTGTTCATATTATAACCAAATAAACTGTGACTGATCAAACTGAGCGAACCACATGTGTAGAAAATCAAGACCTATATGATGCATACTAAGAGATCACTAACCTGAGAATAAGCAATCTGAGTCACCTTCTGTAAATCATCTTGAGCACCAGTTGTGATACGACCGAAAAAAATCTCCTCGGATACTCGACCACCCAAAGTCATGCACATTCTAAGCAGAAATGTTCCTACTAAGAAATGAATGAAAACTAACGGAAATACTCAGAAAAGTAAAGTAACTACCAAGTCTGACTTTCTATTAACCTCGACATTAAATGTTATTGAAATCTTGGTTTAGCATTTTCTCTGATTGGTTATGGAGGTGTTTGGTCGGATAAGTTGCTGTCAACTTGACCTCTCCAGGCTCTGAGGAAGGCAAAATCCGCCGAAACGTCAGCTTGTACGTAAATAAAGAAATAAAATAGCACCTCGTGTTTGCTGAACAGAAGTAGAAAGAATTACTCAGAAAAGTACTCCTAGAAGTCGACCAAGCAATCGCATACAAACAAATATGTTCCTGCCAGTATTTTAGAATGCCTCTGCTACAGTGGTTATTCTATTATACAACTCATGATTTAGCAACAGGTGGCGCGTTTCGATCAAGAAGTCCATCTAAGAGTAAACCAACACTAGGATCCACCACCGTCCTAGTATCAAACTAGTCACATGGTGGCAAATCTCCCTCTAATGAACAACATCGGCAACTGCTTGTGGTGATGATGACCTGGGGCAGACTTTAGCCACGCTGACCTCTGGACTCCAGGGAACCATAATGGCTTAACCAGCAAATATCCGAAAAGTGGAAATTTTGCTGGGGTCCGCACAACCAGTGAGGACGGACCGTCCAAGTAAGTAAGTAAGGTTACTGTGGCTTCAACAGATTATGTTAAAATCACTACAATAACAAAAACATGCCTGTCAAGGAGCTGTTCTTTCGAATACAAATACTGTTCCTTGGGAAGGTACTGTGCATAACCAAGACCTTTACCACGTGGTATAATAGACACCTAAACCAAGAGTTAAATCAGGTTACGAAATATAAATCGTATATAATGCTGAGATATTTGCAAAACTCCAGACCGCAGATGTATGTGGTGGGGAACGAACACTGGGGAGTAGCGCACTTCACCACCACCTCAGCATTACATACGAGTTATATTTCGCAACATACCCTGCCATTAAAAAGGAAAAGGCAGTAAATAAAAGGGTTAAGATTGTAAATCAGGTTAGCTAATAAAGAACTCAGCAAATGTATACCGAGTTGAAATCTTTGAACTTGAATGCCTTAAAAAACCTGTTCACCTTGAGAAGAGGATCAGCATGTTCGAGGAACCACCCTGCAATTGCATGCCCTGCTTCGTGATAAGCCACTGTACGCTTTTCGTCCGGTTGTAACACCTTTAAAAAATCAACCCAAAATTAAGATAATCAGCAAAGCGAGAAATCAAAGAGCTCTAATCTACAACGTCCAGTTTCAGAAAGCTGTCAAGTACCTGACTTTTCTTCTCCATTCCAGCAACAACTCTCTCAATTGCCTGCTCGAAATTCTTTTCGCTAATCTCGTCCGCGGCATCCCTTGCAGCTATTAATGCAGCTTCATTACAAACATTAGAAATGTCAGCCCCTAAAATGTATAACTTTAATGGGCAACTAAAGAACATATGGAGTGAAAAACACTGAAGTGAAGAGGGTAATCAAAGTCATTCATAAATTGAAGGAATGGAAAAACACCAGAAAATCCCGGAGTGTGTGCAGCAAGTTTCCTCGATAACTGAACTTTCTCTAGAGATGTTTTTAAAGGACCCAAGTGCACTCTGAATATTGACGCTCTGCCCTGGAAACACAATTTCTCTGATCAAACAAACAGCGCTACACATGCCACAAAGGCTAACGGAGAACCTTGATATCCGGAACTGGAACATAAATTTGTCGATCAAAGCGACCTGGACGCAACAAAGCGGGATCAAGGATATCAACACGATTCGTTGCAGCAACGACAATTACAGATGATTCCTCCGTGGAAAAACCTAAACAGCGGAAGGAAGTCTGAACAATTAGGGAAGGTTCTCATTGATAAAGATAAAAATTCTATTTGTTACCATCCATTTCAACAAGAAGTTGATTTAGCGTGTTTTCTTGCTCGGAATGACCTCCTATTCCTCCCTTTCCACCTCTTTTTCGACCAACTGCATCGATTTCGTCAATAAAGAGAATACATGGACTGTTTTTTCTTGCCATCGCAAACATGTCACGAACCCTAGCAGGACCAACACCAACAAACATCTAGAAAAAATTCCTCGAAATTGTTTTTTGAAAAAGTAAGACGATGAAAATAGAACCTCGAGGAATTCGGAACCAGAGACTGTGATGAATGGCACGTTGGCTTCGCCGGCAGTTGCTTTTGCTAGAAGTGTTTTGCCAGTTCCAGGTGGCCCTGTTAGGATTGCGCCCTACAGGAAGAACGGAATTCACGAAGAAAACATATAATACAAAGAATTATGAGAATTCCGCTTACTTTCGGAATTTTCGCCCCAAGATCTTTGTACTGTTGTGGATTTTTCAAAAAATTTACAAATTCCATAATTTCAATCTTCGCCTCCTCGCAACCGGCAACGTCTTTGAACGAAACCTTAACTACACTAAAGACGTGACCTCACCATCCCCAACAAGAAAGACGATTACCTTGATGTCCTCCTTGTTGATGATTCTTGCAGTGCTTTGTCCAAATCCACCGAACATTCCACTCAGACCACCTCCGCCCCCAGGTCGACCTACATTGGTGACGCAACAGAATCAAAACCAAACACGAGGAAAACACGAAAGATCTTCTAAACAAACTGCATAAATGGTAAAAGGTACAAATCAATATGGTTACCAGTAGTCTGCAAAAACCGTATAGAAGAAAAAAATACGAAACGAAAAAGTAGTTCCTATTTTCTTTTTTTTAGGCGGAATTTCTAGAAAACACTCACCACCTGCAGCTCCACCTCCTTTAAGAACGCGGTAGATATAGTACCCAAACAACAAGGGGAATGCGACGCTGATAAGGTTTGGAATTTCCCTCTTACTAAACAGTAAGACGGTCAACTTTGCTGAGCTCTATACTTGCGGATACCACACCGCAAAAAAGCAACAACGACAGACACAAACCATTGAGGAAAATCAACTCACAAGTCAAATTCTGACTTGTAAAGAACAGGTATCTGTCGATCGGCATCGTAACCCAAATGCATCTGCGCCATATCCAAGCTCCTTTCGAAGCTATCCACGCTACCGATATTAAAGTAGTATGTCTGCTGAGAAACCAAACTCAGAGATCAACATCAAACACCACATAAAACTAAGTATAAAGTAAGAAAAAGACAACATACCCCCGTGGCTTTAGCCGAAGAAATAATGCGAACCCATCTCTTATCAACTACTTCTAAACGATCAACCTATAATGTAAAAGAAAAACTAACATGAAAAATCACAAGATTTCGGATAGAAGAAATAAAATGCGTAAAACATACAATTCTGGGTTCCAGAAACTCATGGTAAAACTCTTTCCATGAAATTTCTTTATATGACTGATAATCCATAAATAAATAAAGGGCTATTATAAGGCCAACACTGACTGCAATCTGTTGCCAACCACCAGGGCTGAAAGTGACGGGGTCGAACAAAACGAAACAGTTTTTGGAAAGCGACAAGAACCTATGACAAACACTCACATTTGATCGAACGGTCCAGTTGAGCCACTACCACCAGCAGAACCTCTCCCCTTCGCGGAATCTGAATGGGAACCAGTGCTCTGATGAAAACAAAACAGGTAAAACACAGCATGTCGATGCAAAACGAATACAATAGTTAGAAAATGACTCGCCTGAAGCCTTTGGCTTCTCAGTAGACGGTGAGCTGCTTTCCTTTCCAGAAGCTTTCTTCTCATCAAAGTCAAAGAATTTCTTAAAACCTTTCGGGGGAGAAAACCGAATGACAGCATTCCTGAGTTCCTCAAGCCACGTATCATTATGTAATAACTGAGACAATTCCCTTTGTGTTAAGAAGTTTCCATTCTGAAAGAAAAAACAGGATCAAAGTTGCGCATAGAAGAGAACAGGCTGAAATCCACACACTTACTTTCTCGTTTAAAGAACTGCATAACACTAGCGACGATGACGTGGAATACAGACGTTTCAATTTTACTAAATAACTAGCTCCACTGTTCATAAACTCTCTATATTTCCCGCTATTCATACATACGCGTAGCATTCCTAGAAACCTCTGTATATACAAAACGCGATATATACATACTATATATACACATGTATGCCTATATACATGTAAAGGACAAAGCATAAAGCTCTCGGCGTTGATCAATCCCTTAGAGATGCGCTATGCATTCGCCTTCACTTAGCGTCATTTGGAGCTGATTAAATACATATCTGGCCTTTACAATGACTCGCGGTGGGCTACGATGTATCGAGCCAGTGCTGCTCTCCTCCCAGACAAGTCTGGTACCAATTTGCCAACTCCGGAGGGATAGAGTGCTTGGTGAGCCACTAGCGTGGAGGTCGATCCCACGTGTATTGCCGGGCGCCTTCGACCAATGCGCCACAGGCGCCTTTTATACATATGCATACAATATATGTATATGTACATACAGTAATGCTACCAGAGAAAAGCATGTCCTTATATTACTTATACTACTAAAGTCATATGTAAAATATCTACATAAGTCAACTTAAACATTTGCACTAGTTTTGAATCGTCAAGAACAGCTAAAACAGGGAACAGTACGTCGTCAAGAACAGCTAAAATAGGGAACAGTACGTAAAAGCTGCAGCCGAGATGAGCACCAGAAAAAAGCCGATCCAACAAAACGAAACGAACAGAAATATGACCTCAACGAAGAAAGTAAAAGAAAGGAAGAAAGGAAAAAATGAAGGAAAAACTCGCCCTGCTCGAACTCCGACAATTGTCACAAACGCAATCGCGCTGGACAGCCACGCCCACAATTTGTCCCTGCGGCGAATTCAAAACATCACCAAAGACGTCTACTGAGTTTGTACGACGATTTCTTTCGCTAAGAACTGATGGAAAACGTTCTTCGTCGGTTTACAACCGTGGATTACCAGCATTGTAATCGATAACAAACATGAGAATAGAGCGCGAAGACAAATACACATGCTGTCACTCAGGCTTTGAACTACGCCGAAGAACGTTTTCTATTGTCCTCGGATGTGTGGACAGAAATCATTTGTGTCTCTATACAAAACCGGCTTTTTTCTATGAGAGCGGAAATCTCTGCTAAGGGACTGGGTTCATTATGAACAATACATACAGTGATGAACAGCTACTATAATAAAGAAAAAAGCTCTTGGCGTTGATGAATCTCTGATGGATGAGTCTTGCATTCGAGTTCATTAAGCATCGTTAGGTGTGATCGAATGCATATCTGGCTTTTAAAATGTGTCGTGGTGGCCTACCGATGCATCGAGCCAGTGCTGCTATCCTCCCAAATAAGTCTGGTACCGATTTGCCGATCCTGGAGAGATGGAGGGCTTGCTGGACGTGGGGCGCATGGATCGATCCTATGTATATTGCAATGCGCCTCCGACCACTGCGCTAAATGCGCCCTACAACCGCGAAATCTATTGGGAATATGTGAGGAAGATATCAAGTCCATTAACATCTTTTATGGTTGATTTCGTTGCAAGCGAAGATACAGAGGCTTCGACGTTGTCCAGAAGTCTTAGCAATTCGTAGGATGAATGAATTTCTCCAATCGAACCGAAACGTCCTTTTCGAACAGCCCAACATCGACAGCAAAACAGTCGTTATAAGAAGCGCAGAGAACATAGCTCATGTATTCTATGAAATTTAAAGAAAGAAACTTGCTAAAGTCATGTCAGTCATGAAGAGACATGGAGCAAAGAGATGACTGGTCCTGCGTGATGGCACCGGAAACAATGCTGGGCATCGAAATGATGAAGTACATACTGGCATGCAACCGAATCTGTCATGAAGTCGAACGAACCATCACATCGATCTAAAAAATTAGCCTACATTCGGAATCTCTCTAGTCACAACTTTCTTCGATAGTCTGCACGCGCCATCAAAGACTATGAAGTAAGCTTTTATTAGGCGACTCGGAAATTTATGTCCGATTTGCGATTTCATCTTTCTTGAACGTTTTTCAGCAACCATTTTTTCCGACTGTTATGCTACGATATATATATATATATATATACATATATATATATCAAGGACGGTTGTGGCGCAGTGGTCGAAGGCGCTCTGCAGCACACACGTGGAATCGATCTCCGTGCCCATGGCTCACCAAGCCCTCCATTCCTCTGGAGTCGGCAACTTGGTACCAAACTTCTCTGGCAGGATAGCACCACCGGGTAAAGGCCAGATATGAATCAATAACCTCCAAACGATGCCTAGTGAAGTCGAATGAATGGTGCACCCATCAGGCATTGATCAACGCCGAGAGCTTTATCCTTTATTTTTTTCATGTATATATCAAAAACTGGCTTTCCTTTAATCTCAGCTTGAAAAGCTAATATGTGTTCAATTTGTTGAGCATAGACGAGATTGATAAAGATGCTTATTCAGTTAATGTTTCGACGTCTTCGTCTTCATAAGAGCCGATGGCCCACCTCTCTTAAATTCATTCATCCCTTTTAAAGTTACTTATCAACCTCGTGTTAGGTTAACAATTTCAATATATGTATATATGTATAGAGGATAAAGGATAAAGCTCTCGGCGTTGAATCCATTAGGGATGCGCCATGCATTCGACTTCATTAAGCATCGTTTGGAGGTGATTCAATGCATATCTGGCCTTTACAATCACTCTCGGTGGACTACCGATGTATCGAGCCATTGCTGCTATCCTTCCAGACAAGTCCGGTACCAATTCACCGACCCTGGAGACTTGGAACGGTTAGGCGGCCAGAGGCGCGGGAACTGAGCTCATGCGTATTGCAGGGTGCCTCCGACCGTTGCACCACATGCGCCTGTCATATATATATATATATATATATATATATATATATATATATATATATATA